GGCGATGTAAGAATCACCAGGTGATTCAGAAACAAGTTCGGCCAAGATGGTGCTTGTCCCTTTTCTCTGAATCAAAGACCAAGCAAAATATGAGGCAAAAACACTCGGACGCAGAGCAGAAATCATTTGGTAGAAGGCCATTGTCACTTAATGAGTTAATAGTTCTCTTGACATAATTCCTTAAAAAGAATGGGTGAGACAGAGAGAAATGCTTGGACTGTTAAAAAAAAAGACAAAGTACTCACGAAGAGATGAAAGCAATTTGCTATCTTCAAAGAGAACATCATACTGCAGTGGTAGTAGCAAAGAAAAAAAAAAGATGAAATAAGGTACTATGCACCTGTACTTGTCCTAAATGCAAAACTTCCCAAAGAGCATGCCACAGTACATATAAAGTACTACTAAGGTGTGTTTGATTTCTCCTCCTAAACTTTAGTCGTTGTTCATCGGATACTTGACACATACATTAAGTATTAAATATAGACTAATTACGAAACTAATTACACAGCATGCGACTAATTTACGAGATGAATCTTTTAAGCCTAATTAACCCATGATTTGACAATGTAGTGCTACAGTAAACATGTACTATAATGGATTAATTAGGCTTAATAAATTCGTCTCGTGGAGTACTAACGGATTCTGTAATTTATTTTTTTATTAATATCCGAACACCTCATGCTATATGTTTATGTGAATTTTAGTCATCGGATCAAACAGCATAAGATGAAAGAAGATTTCTTGTTACCAGAGGTGAGAACTGCAGCTCCCAGCTCCCACTATTCCTCTTCGATCAGATGTTTAACTGTTACTCAGCAACCCTTTGCTAGAGTAAATAGTGTTCACCATGAATGGGCGTGCGTACATGTGGATGTGGCCACAACTGAAAACAATGAATAGCTGGAGTTGGGGACCCCCCACCCCAACACGCATTCACACCCGTCTCCAGTTCTCCGCCAGATTTTCACCGTCTTTTTTTTTAATAAACACCCAGTAAACATAGCAGCAACAGCAAGCTCACAAATACTTTTCCCGTTGTATTATTGCTCGTTCTACTGCTCAGTGTCCTGAAGATGAGGGCGCAAGCAGTTCATCAGTGTCCTGTTTCACTGAAAGGCCCCTCAGAATATGGATGGTGCCATCGCTGCCAGAATTAATACCGAGCAATTGTAGTCCGGAGATGGGGGAGCTGGTAGGGGGCTGGACGCCGAATAATACAGTCAAAGCGAAGACCTGCACGTAGCAGGGCCGCAGGGGCATCCTGCTTGACAGAGGTAGCCGGAAGAGGCCTATCGTCACCGAATTGGATTCGGTGCTCCGTTTGTCTGGCCGATAAGCTATGGTCGAAAGTATCGTTGACTGATTTATTATAAAAAAATACTATTTACTAACTTAAAAAAGTAAAGTTTAGCTTATAAAACCGAACAGACGAGACCGCACGACTGTCTCGGGAACCCGTAGGGTTCGTGGGTGTTTATGCAGGACTGCAGGTGCAGCACCGCGCAGCATCCATCGTACTTGTTCCAAAATTAATCCAAATGAATATATCCAACTGAAGGGAATATAGATTCTGCCTGGCTGCAATCGTCTTCCTACGTTTCAAGATTGATATAGCCTTCTTTGCTTGTCTTATAATCAGTTTTTTAATATTTTCTTTAGCCAAAACGGTGTTTTTTTCTCACAACAAATCAGTCGGAGCAATGTTTCGACTTGTTTTTTCAGCGAAGCGAACGGGACATCAGGAAATGTGTTTGTATTTTATTGTCAAGTAAGATTTCCACAAGTATTGGTATTTTACACAAGATAATAGAAGTGGGGAATCACATAGTACATATCCAAATGGTTCAGATTTGTCACTGAAACAAAGAACGCTTATCAGCTTCCATTTGTCCTCTAGAAATCACATATCCACTTGACTAATGATTCGTGTTTTCCTAAACGTCGACCTAGCGATCCAGCAATCACCGTTGAGACTAACAGTGCAAATATATAGAAGGTACAGTAGATTAAAACAATAAATTGTCCATGCAGACAATGATGTAACACCAACATAATACACGGTTACTCCCCTCCCTCTGAATAAATCAATTCCTCGAGTTGTCCCAAACTTTTAAGTTTCATTAAATCTATAAAAGAGTTATGACACCAAATTAGTATCATTAAATATACCATAAAATATATTTCTATAATATGCTCATTTGGTGTCATAAATATGTATACTCTTTTCTATAGATTCGGTCAGACTTTAAAAAAATGATTTAAGACAACCCTAACAATTGATTTATTCATGGACAAAGAGATACTTTTGTATAGCTGCCACACCTAGTGCAATTTTGTGTGCAAGCAACTGCTGCTGCTTAAAGCATATTATACACCAACTAGAAATGAGAATCATAAACCAGATCAATAATCATAGCAATGAGATCTCATGGCAGTAAAACATTTACCCAATCCAGATCTATAAAGTGTTTCCTCCCATGCCCTCCCCCCACAATCTTTTCAGTGCACCAAACCAAAAGCAAAGAGTCCATCTCACTGAAAACTGAAGCCTTTCTTGGGCTCCGAGACGCCCCGTACATCTCTGATTTTAGTACTGGCGACGGTGGCTCAGAGTCCCAGTTAAGATAAGTGATCAGAAAGCTAAATCTCATGACAGTCATTTCACGGTTTAATTAATAACATAATAGAAAAGGGCAAATGAGGCCAATAGTCAATAGGACATGTGTAAACAATGCAGAGTAGATGCACGCGTACAGCAAAAGAAGTGTCCTTTCTTCCTGTGGTCAATGTAAAGTTCACCTTAAAGAATTTTGCAATCTTTGGTCCCCCAATGGTGGAGGATGATCTATGTAACATGGTACAAAAGCATCAAGCAGAAATGCTTCACAAGTTCAGCAAATTATGATCACCCCACGCTATCCCCAGTCTGATATGACTGAATTGCATAATAAAATGGATAAGCCACAACTCATAAGCACCTGCAAATTCAGATTAACTTTACATTATCTGGGAACTCAGTAACACAAAAATAAACCTGTAGCATCAAAGTGAAAATTTCGCTCAAATGAATAATACAAGACCATACTTCCACAGTCAAGACAGTATCTTCAAATTTTGCCTTGACCAGTTCAAACAATAAATAAACGTATTATCAACTTTCTGAATCATCCAAGTGAGAACCATGAGGAGAACAAGGACATGGAGGTTATAGTTTCATAAAGGAAATAAGAGGCCAGTCTCATATGCATATGTCAAACATGCATCTACGACCCAGAAAATAGACAAATAAATAAGTATACAAGGATAAGAAACCATACTCAGAACCATGACAACACAAGTGAAGGCAACACAACAGCTCATAATTTCTAGAAAGAAAAGAGATAACCATCCAGTACTTGCAAGAATCATCTATGACGGCAGCAAAACTGTTCCCCAGTGAGATGTGTATCATACCAACTGTAACAAAACGAAATAATTTTACAACTCATTGGAATTGTATTTAGTTTTGGTTGGGGTTTTGGAAAACACACATGACGAAGACTCACAAGTGGTCCTCATCCTGTCACATAAACTTGCACTGTAGGTGTTGTGTGTGGTTTTTTTTGTGTGTGTGTGGGGAGGGGGGAGGCTGCACCAGGGCGCAGGGCGACAAAAAAAGGTCCAGCATCTCATAAGCCAATTACATAAGTGGGCACGATTTGTTTTCCCATTAAGTTAGGTGATAAGTATGTTAGTACTAAATTTTGGCTTTTAGGAGTACCTATGTTTAATCCAGCCATCCCTATATAAAGAGAGGCAGCATTCAGGAATAAGGGGAACAAAAGAAGTTACCTCCTCTCTATCGCTATATCGCTATATTCCCTCAACCCACCGCCACTATGGATAGATGAGGCTTGTACCTTCTCCCGTTGGGCAATTCACATCCACCAGACAACAGTACGCCAAATAAACAATTGTGTTCAATCATAAATTAATACAACATCACCCAGGTACACTCGACTAGTTACATAAACATACTCCTAGTATGTTACATACCACCCTCTGTCCCAAACTATAGGTCGTTTTGGCTTTTCTAAGTACATAGCTTTTGCCATGCACCTAGATATATGATATGATACATAATAGAAGTTGTGTATCTAGAAAACCCAAAACGACCTACACATTGGAAGGGAGGGAGTACATCCCAAATGATCCACAAGTCATTTATTAAAGGCTGTAGTAGTTGTCATTATCACGATGATTCTTCCAGGCATAGATTTTTTTTTTTAAAAAAAAGAGATGCATACACCATGTAGTGGTACATATTACCAATAAAAGAAAACTTAAAGTGTATCAGGTTGTTTGATGTTTTTAGCTCTAATGTCTTTATTATTACAAGAAGGCAGTTCTCGACACCAGAGATATTTCACTGTTTTAAATAAAATAAAAGGGCACCATAATAACAGACTAACAGTATGCTTCCATTATTTCATACAAGACTGATAACATAATACTATAATAGAAGAACCTGATTATTCTATTATCACTGTGCAGTAACTTGTATGTCAAAGGAAAATACCTGATATGTGGGTGAGGTGTAAAATTAAGGCATCAATGCTGTAGATTGCACATTTAATGCAAATAAATTTAAGCAGCATATTGAAGTTTAAAGCTATTATTATCTTAGCTAAAAATACATCTACCTATACATTCAACCAATCACTACGTCTAGATGATTCATCTGAGGATAGAACAAGGGTACTTTATTACTTGGGCATTGGATTACATTGGCGCAAAAAGAGACAGAAAAGATAGGATCTAAGATACTAAGGGGATATATGAGGATAAGAGTGCTGTGCACATTCATAAGTGTGTGACTTGATGATATGAACAAGACGGTCTAACCGTCTACGCACCCCTTCTTACCAAATACTCTTAACATATAAGTAAAACTCATCGACATGGCTTCAAAGGAAGTTATGGCGGTGACCATCAAGTATGCAGTTCGGGGAGATGTTCCTTCATTGATTTCCAAAGTGATGCCCCACAGAACCAGGATTCCCAATAAAAGGAAGTCTGTCCGAGTCCCCACCAATCAATGACAGCCTAAGTGGGCGGCTATAAGGACTATTTCCCCAGCCATAGTTCCAAAAGGTTGGGTCGGACCTCTTCTGCCGTCTCTTATTGGCCTGCCAAACCTCTCCAAATATGGCCTTCGCAGTCTTGCTCACACCCCTAGAGCCCTCACCATAATGTTCAAACTTCGATACAAACTTCTTCCAAATACTATCATCTGATGCAAGATTCCTCATTTCCATGCATGTGCACTCAACCTTTGCAAGATCAACCCCAGGTAGAAACTCCAATATCTTAGTCTTCAGATCAGCAGGCAAAGCCATCAAGCATGGAGGCAAGCGCAAACCATTCAGTTGGCACAATGATATCATTAATGGCAGGCAAATCTCATCCTTCAGCACTCTCCACAGATCATGAACTCCCTTCTCATGCACTCCGCTCAGCTGATCGCTATCCAGATAAAGTAAAGGCTCAAGCCCTGGCAACTCCAAGCACAACCGGCACACCTCCGACTGTGCCCCATGCACATACCAGTATACCATAACGAAATTGGCCATCAAGGAGTAGTTCAGCACCACCACCTTCCCCTCCTCAGTCACAGGTAACATTGCTGAAAGCTCTGGTATGGTATACTTGATGGTCAGTGGCTTCAAAGCACCCGACGGCCAGCCCTGAGGCAGTGAGAGGTGAGACCCCATCTGAGTGGCGGTGAGAAAGCCGACATCAAGCAGAGCTGCATGTAAGGCCGCAACCAGGCGACCTGCAGCGGTTCCCTCCGCGCCCCCGACGTTGCCCATCTCCCTCTTGAGATCCCTAAGCACAAAACTCGACCAGCTCTTCGTCGCATCGAAGGCCTCCTCCATCACCACATCCGGCGGACCGGAAGCGACCGGAAAGCTAGGGTTCACCACCACAGCCTGCACCTGTGACGACGAAGAGGAACCTCCAGTAACAGGCTGCTTCGAACCCTTCCCGCGGCCCTTTGTCGCATCGAAGGCCACCTCCATCACCACATCCGGCGGACCGGAAGCGACCGGAAAGCTAGTGTTCACCACCACAGCCTGCACCTGTGACGACGAAGAGGAACCTCCAGTAACAGGCTGCTTCGAACCCTTCCCGCGATCGACAGCCTCAGCGGTCGACGCTGCAGTGCCAGAGCCCGGGCTAGGGTTCCGGGACAGGGCCTGAGCCGGCGGCGCTAGGGCCGTGAGAGGGGATAGGGTGAAGAAGACGAGATCACCGGACGCGAGGCCGAGGGACGGGAGCGTGGCGGCGGGGTCCGGCGAGACGAGCTCCTCGCTGCGGTTGAGGGAGAGGCGGACGGACTCGGCGGGGACGGGCTGCGCCGCGGAGAGCTTCGACGCGAGGAGGGTCTTCACGTCGGCCAGCGTGGCCGTGGGCGGCAGGTCCACGCGGTGGGTCTCGACGGCGGCGGCACCGCCGCGCGCCTCCATCGATCGCAACCGGAGCTTCATGGTGCGGGGAATTTTTCGTGGCGAGGGTGGATGAGGATGAGTAGCGTCGCGGTGGCACTTGACTTTGGGAACGGGGGCGGTTGAGAACTGATATTGGGGCGAGAGCGACCTCGTTATGGCGGGCTAGAATAAACGAGTATGGACTGGATCACATAACAGGCCTTGGGTTTGGTGTGGATCGTCGCTATCCGCGTACACGTGCAGTGGGCCGTATTATTTTGGCCCAGTGCAGATTGGAAGTTGAGTTCAAGAGTTCAAGTGGCTTGGATCCACCGGCAGCCCAATGCGGAGGGACGCAGGCGCATGAATATAAGCTGGGCCGGATTCGCTACGGAGTCCGCAGACGTCAGACGCACCCGCGTGGCCCTACGCGGCTACTCCTGTCCTGCGCGTCTCGAGGAACGACACAGGGGCAGTACCAAGTCGTCATTCCAAGGCAGTGCAGTACTCACCTTCATATACACAGTCATTTTCAACAAGTTACGGAGTACGTATCCTGGCGACCTGGCAAGATTGGAGTTGGGCAGTGCCCAAGACGTCTGCTAGCTCCTGGCCTCCTGCACGTTTGCTAGATCAGGCGTGCCTAGGCAATGCTATACAGTACACGTAGTAGTACTACTAGTACAAGTATAGAGTACTGTACTATCTGGCGCCCGTAGCCTCTACCCTTTCCTCTGCAGTCTGCACGGGCATTTCTTTTCCTGCTGGCTGCTGTTACAGTTCCAACGCCTGACGGGGAGTCATGACAACAGACCAAGCTCACCGCGAAAGGAAACTTGCTGTTACCGGCGGGTTTTCAATAACGAAGTGACAAGCCGAGATTTCCGATGCACGGCAGCTCGGCAGCGGAGATGCGCGGGGCGGGACGGCGCGAGTCTGGAGGACAGAGGCATGCGAGTGCATAAGGGCTGTTTGGTTGGCCGATCATCTGCCCTCTTGAATCTTGATGCAAGCTCAAGTCATTTGATTGGCTGAATTCTTTCTTGAGCCAGGCTCGATGCGTGCACAACGCCCTGCAGCCTGCCCGCGGGATTTTTGGACGGCCTGTCTCGTGCGGGCAGCGTGCGAGAGAATCGCTATATAGACGCAAGTGTAGATCAAGGCAATCAAAGAGCTACTCTATATATCCTGGCGCTGCAGATCATGCCTGTATGGCCACAGTTTGGGAGAGGAAATCTGGCTAGCAAGATGTGATGCACGCTAGCTGAGAATAAAGCAATACATGAAGGCGAACGACCGTGGCCCATGCGCCGGGGAAGAAGGGCGTCCTTAAGTTTATGCCATACCAGCTTTGTGATCGATGCTGAGAGCATCAATTGCCATGCCATCTCAACCTCGATGCCTAGAGGCTTTTTGCACATAGCGTTAACACTCCGTGCCTATGCATGTAGTGGGGCCACGCGTCAGAATAATCACAGCATACACAGGCTTGAAATGTTTCTTTAATCTGGATAGCATCGAGGCTTCTACTTGACTCGTGCTGAAATTTTTCGTTTTGGCATCGTTCTCTAAAGTGGGTCTACCCGAGGCTTGAAACCTTTCCATCCTTTTCCGCATCGATCTGGCCCAGTTGTGCAGACAAGGGCGCTGTTTGATCCGACTACTAAAATTTAAAATCTAGGAGGTGTGTCGGGATGATGTTGTATGGGGTGTTCGGATACTAATAAAAAAGTAAATTACATAATCCGTCGGTGCTCCACGAGACGAATTTTTTAAGACTAATTAATCCGTCATTAGCACATGTTTACTATAGCAGACCATTGTCAAATCATGGACTAATTAGGCTCAAAAGATTCGTCTTGCAAATTAGTCGCAAACTTTGTAATTAGTTTCGTAATTAGTCTATATTTAATACTCCATACATGTGTCCAAATATCCGATGGGACAACGACTAAAATTTAGGAGAGGCAACAAACACCCCCTAAGGGTGTGTGTTTGATAGGGAGAAGCGTTTTAGATTCTCAATCACTGCCAAATGGTACAAAGAGAGAAACATTTCAGAATAATTTGGAATCGATTCTCGTTTTTTATTAGTCTAGAGAAAGAATCAAAACCTGATTTCTTCTGATTCTGGTTCTAATTTCAAGGATCCAGTGAGCTAGCCAAACGGTTTTATGAGATGATTCCTCTTCAGAAGAGCAATGTTTCTGTAGAGAATGAAAAGTTTTTTGAAGAATCTGCATCCATGCCAAAAGCCCAGCTCGCAGCTTCTTTCGTAGCTAAGCCGACTAGAAAGCTCACGTGTGGTGGAGATCACTTCGGCCATCTTGTGTGTGTGTGCAAGCGAGCTCTTCCGATTTTCAAGTTCCATCGTTCTTGGTTGTCCCCGGAGGACATTTTGGTTCGGGGAACTGGATACTCTCTCCTATATTTTAGTCGGTGATTAACAAAGCTAGAAATATTTGGCAATGTTCACCAAAGCCTTTTTTTTCTTTTTTCCAAATGATCTGTGAGAGGGAAGCTAGTTTTTTTTTTCTCCTCCGGCTCTATCTTCTCGACAATTGGAGCATGAGCTGAAACCGAAAAACCCGGCAAAATAAGCTCTAATACAAAAATGGTTCATACTCCTCTTTGCAGGAACCATTTTGCCGTTTTGGCACCCACTGTTGGCACGGTTTCATGAGCAGAAACTCGGAGGGGACAAACTTGCTGGTCGAGCAGGCACAAAGAGAAAGGTCAAGGACCTGAGTGGCTGAATGACAGGCCGGGGGCTTGTCACCAAACTTGGTGCTTGTCCGGAGGCGTCCGGCGTGAGGAGAGCATTGATAGACGTGACGTCTGGTGATAACTGATGCGAGACCAGTGAGGGATACGACGAACATGAACGTCTGCCGTGTTCGGCTGAGCTGGGCTGTCTGGTTATTTTTTTCAGCTGAAGCTGTGTTTTTCTCTCACAAAATTCCAGAGCAGACAGACTGCAAAGAAAGCAATGCCGGTAGAGTGCAGTGCTATGGACTCGTCCATTTCGCGAACTGCTCTGGGCTGCGTGCGCGTAATACGAACTGGAGTAGGAGTACGAAACAGGTGCACGCGTCCAAGTAGTACTACAATCATTTCGGTACCACCATCACGGCATCACCTGTATAGTACCCGTGAGGCCGTGATCATTTACCACTACTAGCTTGTTTTAGTGATGAAGCTAGGTCAGGATCTGGTCCTCACTCCTCAGGGCTCTCTTTGGAAGCAAGGAAGCAAAACTTAGGAACGGGAAACCCTCTACTAAGAATTCAAATGACAATTAGAATCATATTCCCATGGATTACCCATCCAGGAAAAAGTCCGAGATCCCAAAGGTATTGGAGTTCTCAAAATTAGGCCTAAGCTAGTCAGCTTCAATTCACCTCTTCTGTATCCGTCCTCGCCACGTTCTACTGTTAGCACGCATCCATCTGTCGGTTGCGTCAGCATCCGCCTGCAGCGGACCACGGAGGCGTAGACGGCTAGGTTTACGCAAAGTAGTGTGTACTCCTTCCGTAAAAAAAAACGCAATTCCAGCTCTAAATCTGGACACACGTCGTGTCCAGGTTCAAAGCTAGAATTACGTTTTTTTTCTAGGCAGAGGGGGTAGTGATGAACTGACGATGTGCGTGAACTGTACAGTAACGTAGAATGGATTATGCATGGATACACCCTCGACATTACGCAGCAGACTGATACATGGCGACAGCGCTACGGTTTTTCTTTCTCTTCTCCAGAAGAAAACAAGACACGCTCACGCAGACGCAGGCAACAGGGGCGCAACTCGCCTCAGCCGCGGCTGGCGGAAACGCAGTCGGAAGGTGCAAAACGACACAGCACGCGCTGCCCTGTCTGTTGATCCAATTTTTTACAATTTGGCCCCTTTTTGAAGGAAATTTACGTTTGGCCCCCCTGGGAGACTTAAACTCATCTTTGGACCCTAGGGGTCGGCGCCAGGACTCATGGCGCCGAGGTAAAATGTCTCGGCGCCACATATCTTGGCTCCGAGGTGCCTGACCGTGCACAGCCAGGCATCCTAGGTGGCGTTCACGTGGCCGGTACCTCGGCGCCAGAATACATGGCGCCGAGCTCGGCGCCACAGATCTTGGCGCCGACCTCGGCGCCATGTATTCTGGCGTCGAGCATGGATTCAAAACCCACAGCCAAGTTTCCCTTGCCAACGCTGCTCTCATTTCTTCCTCCCCCCTCTCGGTTTCTTCCTCTCCCTAACCCGTCCAATCTCTTGAGAATCGACGAATTTGATCTTGGATACTTGGATTTGATCCATGCATCTTCGCGAGCAAGGTATCCTCTCTCTCCCCTTATCAAATTTTATGTATTGATTTGGTATATATTACGTCTATTTTGCAACCCTAGATACGTTATTACCTAATGTTTGAAGTGATTTTTTATTTTTTGTATTATGTAACGGTAGGATGCCAAGGCGTGGTAAAGCTAGTAAGCCAAGGTAATCTCTTATCATCGTGTTATATTATGTTTTCATTTATGTGCAACAAATAGAAAAAAAAATCTAGGTTTAGGGTTTAATGTTCATTGCTTTCGGTTCTTAGAACAAATTTGGTTCAATTGTAGTTATGGCCGGATGACCGAAAATGCCTTTAACCCGTTGCCTCTGTCTAGTGGTGTTCCAGTGCCCATGTGCTTTTATGGTGATCCTTGCAAGGTAGCCAAGTCCGATGAAGAGGACACGTATAGACAGAGCTATTGGATGTGTGCCAATTTTGCATTTGAGCCTACACTTCGTCAGCGCCGCATTAACAAGATGGTGAGAAATTGATGTTGTTTAATATTTATTTTGTGTCAAATGAAGTCTTGCATGATTTATTTGTTTTATAACAATTGCATTTATTGTAGAACCCTCCACCGCTCTATGATTTTGAGCAGTGGATCGACACTAAGATCAAGCCGGAAGATAAGGAGTGGATGCAGAACTGTTACGGTGGGAGGCAGAGGATAAGGAGATGATGGAGAAGAGACGCAGAGAGGAGGCTCTAGAAAATGAGCACAAGGAAGAGGAGGAA